AGTCAAAGATGTAACTGGAATCAGCACCCGAATGGTGTGTGGGTTTGCTTGGGGCAGGGAGTACAAACAGAGCCCAGCCTAGAAATGCGAGGTGTGGAGCCCATTCAGTGACCTCGCTGTTTGCCCAGCTGCAGGGTGACTCCCTTTTCATTCCTCAGCTGCCCAGCTGCTTCCTAACACTGTTTTATTTTTCTTTTAAACTGACGTAGCCAATCAAACTTCCCCCAGCAGGCTTGATAATTACTAAAAACAGACCACTTCGCAGTTGCACGCAGCTCAGAACAAGCTGCCGGGGTTTCTAGTTGAGCACTTGCTTGGTTCTTGGTCAGCAGTGCCTGTCACAGAATTTGCTCACACCAGATTTTATGAAAAGAAGTAAAGGTTCTTCATTCACCCCATGTTTCACTCTTAAAAATAGTCGTCTTGAGAATGTATCTTAAGTTAAGCCATTAAAAATGCTGATTTTTCTCCCTTTTTTATATAACCTACAAAAGCAGCAGTTTCATATGGTCCGACCTAAGTAAATGCATATATTCCAGCGGTGCTTCTGGTAACCAAACTAATTTATAACTCATCTTTAAATGAGAAAACTCAAGTTCCTTACTTCAAAGCATTACATTAATCTCAACTTCTTAACAACTGTACCTTAACTATAAAATTGTCTCTGGTTATTTATAAATGAGATAAAACCTATCTTCTCTGGATGAGAATTTGACATAATTTAAGAGAAAGTGCCACCACGCTCATTGGGTACTAAATTCTGGTATGTTCCTTGATACAGGTGTGTTGGTGTCACCTTACGCATGTTGCTTCTTTTTAAAGAGTATAATTGTGCTCAAAATAAACAGGTTTCAGAATTGGCCCAGATCTCTGACTCTGCAAATAGAAGCAGATTGAACTTATATTGGAAAACTCTGACTTTAAGTAAAATCTTTGAAAATCTATGACTATTATTCATCAGCATCTAATAACACAGAGATTATATAAAAATATAATAGGCTTTATTTTAGGAATAAAAATGAATACATTTATTACTTGAGAAAATATTAAGCATATATGTGATCTGCTTTGAGAGCTTATAGTTTTTTTTAAGTTCTGCTGAGTGTTAAATTGGCAGTATGTTTCAAAAGCCTCAAAAATGTGCATGTTCTCTAACCCTGCCATTCTCCTTTGGAAATGTATTCTAGGAAATATGACACAATTTTGTGAACAGATATTTCTGGAATAATAATAACCAAATGTTTTATTAACTAAGAATTTATTATATGTTTACAGTATACATTGAAAGAATACCGTGCAAAAAAATTATGTTCTATATATTTCTAAATTTATTAAAATGGAAATTATATATATTATTTCAAAGAGAAGATCAAGGAGTTGAATAAAGCAAAGCGTTGAAATATCCTAAACAATAGGGAATTAGTTAAGTAAATTATGTCACAGTCATATAAAGAGATACTGTACAGCCCTTAAAATTATATCTTAGAAGAATATTTAGTGATATAAGAAAATGTTTTGGCCCTAACCGGTTTGGCTCAGTGGATAGAGCGTCAGCCTGCGGACTGAAGGGTCCCAGGTTTGATTCCAGTCAAGGGCATGTACCTTGGTTGCGGGCACATCCCCAGTAGGGGGTGTGCAGGAGACAGCTGATCGATGTTTCTCTCTTATCGATGTTTCTCTCTATCCCTTTCCCTTCCTCTCTGTAAAAATCAATAAAATATATTTTAAAAAAGGAAAAAAAATGTTCTGATACATTAAGTGAAAAAAGGACATAGGACATTAAAAATGGTAAATTTAGTATGAGCCCAGTTTTTTAAAAGGAGAAATGATATGTGTCATTTTAAAATGAAGTGTGTGTGTGTGTGTAGTAGTAGTAGTAGTATTAGTAGTAATAGTAGTAGTAGACTGGAAGGCTATATACCAAAATTTTAACAGTGGTTATTTCTGCTTGTTTTTTTTCTTCTTTTTTATTATATGTTTTCTACACTGAACATAAAGTTTATTTTGTGGTATGAAAAATAATATTTTTAAATTAAAACTATGTTTGAGCCTTATTATTTATGTTTTGTATGTTGACAAGTAGATTTTAAGCAATAAAATTTAGTAAGGGCTGTTCTAATTTGGAGTTTTTTATAAATCCAAGGTTAGGCTAAAATTTATTCATGAATAATGGTTTATTGTGCAAATGAATAATGCTGAGGAGATTTTAGAGCAACACTTGTAAGCTTAAGGGAACTTCTCAAGTACACTGAAAGCCTGCATAAGACTCTAAATCATTTTTTCATCAAGGCCTGTCTCCTCAGTGCCTCCTCCTGGCAGGTGAATTTAATTTGCATGTTTCTGTTTTCTTTAGGTAGAAACAATATTCCATAATTCTATTTTACTAACAATCTGAAAGTTGGAAGGTGATATTTTTAACATACGTGTCATATAATTGTTTCCATTTACTCTCTAAGTTACAAACAGACATCTTTTAACAATTTGGGTCACGTTTTCGCAGGTGATGAAAACATACCATATGTATCATGCGGAGAGCATCAGTGCAGAGAGCAAGCTGAAAGAGGCCGAGAAACAAGAAGAAAAGCAAATTGGGAGATCCGGCGATCCAGTCTTTCATATTAGACTAGAAGAGAGACATCAGCGGCGAAGCTCTGTAAAGAAAATTGAAAAAATGAAAGAAAAGGTAAGTGAAAACAGATCGCCGAGTCTTTCTGTCCTCACTTGAGATGACTTATCGTCCCCCTTTGAGGTGACAAACTGAAGAACATCGATGCAATAGCTGATAGATACAGATTGTAAATTATCGTGAAATACATGAATTTCCTCCCATGGGAATGCAGAATGTTTAAGGAACATAAAAATCATGTAATAACAGCTGGACATCATTTAGTGGTGAATGCCAAGTATTCAATACACAATGTAGAGAACTTGAATAGTAACAAAGAGATTTCATTGCAAATGGGCCTAATGCCCAAATACATTGTCGTTATTCCCCATAGCTGGGTAATTTTAGTTTGTTATTTAAATCAGATTTGAAATGTACTTTACTCAAAGGACTGGGAAGGTTATTTGTAGATGTAGAATAAATTGTTTAGATTAATAAAAATTCATGTGTGTTTCTCTGTCTTGTTTAAAAATGACTTTCTTGTTTTCCCCAATGCCTGGGTCTTCATTGCCAGAGACAAGCAAAGTATTCAGAAAATAAGCTAAAATCGATTAAGGCACGGAATGAATACCTCCTGACTCTCGAAGCAACCAATGCCTCTGTTTTCAAGTATTATATTCATGATCTTTCAGATTTAATTGATGTAAGTACTTGAGGTTTTTATGTTTTCCACATTAAGATGAACTTAGCAATAACTGTAATTCATTGATTCTAAAACACCACCATATATTAAAACTGTTATTTTATGTAATAGTAAGAAAGAAAAAAATATTGCTAATTAAACCATACATGATACTAAGACACTCTCAATTGTCAGATGACGTGAAAAAAGGTGCATTCTAAAACCATGAAAAACAAATTAGGCCCTACCGGTTTGGGTTAGTGGATAGAGCGTCGGCCTGTGGACTGAAGGGTCCCAGGTTCGATTCCATCAAGGTCACATGCCCAGTGGTGGGCATGTAGGAGGCAGCTGATCAATGATTTACTCTCATCATTGATGTTTCTATCTCTCTCTCGCTCTTCCTTCCCCTCTGCAATCAGTAAAAATATATTTAAAACAACAACAACAAACAAATTAGTAGGTCCTGTGAAGCTGAGTGCTTGGTCGACTCAGCTAGGAAGGGGATCCAGTCATTTTAAAATGATGTAGTGGCACAGCCCTAACTGCATTCATTGATTCAAAACACACTTATTAGGCCCCTACTATTGTGAGATGCTGAGGCTATGAGAAGCCCTGAATGGTTCTTACCCTCTGGAATTTAAAGTGGAAAAGGCAGATATTAAGCAAATGGTGACACAAATGATTGCTTTATTATAGTTGTGATAAATACTGTGTAACAAAATAGTGTGCGTAAACCACTTTTATAAATTTAGCAAACTCTATACTTTTCACTCATGGGATCTGAAATAGAAAAGCAGTAATGGGCTCATTCAGAACTCTGTGAGCCTATACCCACTGTTAGTGATTATTGCCATTGTTCCCCAACTTTAACCTTCTGCATTATTTATTCTTTCATTCAGAAAATGTGTACTGAGGATGCCAGTCATTGTGCTAACACTGTAGAGGAGACTGCAAAGACGAAACAAACGAAAATCCTGTGTCCAAAAATGCCAATATTTGCAAATAAAAAAGTGATGTGTCGTAAGAAAAGCACAGATAAAGTAATAGAGGTTCAGAGAGTTATCTGCAGGAACTTTATTCATATATTGCTTTGTAGTGATTGGATTGAACATCAAATGATATTAGGAAATTATTTTCTATGGCTTACAGAGAGGGTGGGGAACGTCCGGCCTGAGGGCTGTATAAGGCCCGAGAAATCATTTGGCCTGGCCCTGCCAAGGCATTAGGGGTGAGTTAATTAAATGTTTGACCAAATATAGCAGGCTAATTTTTAAGTTGATAATTTTGTATGGCCCACGAATGATGTTATAAATATCCAAATGGCCCTTGGCTGAAAAAAGGTTCCCCACCCCTGGCTTACAGTGTCATAGTTTAGACATGCAGTAAGTTAAAGCAACTTTATTTTATGGTGAATTTAAATCTCATGTATTTACCTATTATTTTAGAGCCATAGTTTGGGAATTTTACCAAGGAATTGTTGAGGGAGGGAATTATTTTTTAGTTCATTAATGCTCGGATGTGACTTTTTTTTTTTGAGTCTTGAAACTAATTTTATCCCACAATATCATAATTTCTTTATACTGAACCATTTAGTAATAAATTCAACTAGGGAAACTTTTTTCTCTTTTGCTATAAGTATTTCAATCAAGTAACTAATCACTTAGTAGTTTTAAATACAGAAACTTTAAAATATATATATATATTGATTTCAGGGAGGAAGAGAGAGGGGAAGAGAGAGAGAAACATCAGTGATGAGAGGGAATCATTGATCGGTTACCTCCTGCACGCCCCCTAATGGGGATCAAGTCCACAACCCAGGCATGTGCCCTGAATAGGAATCGAGCCGTGACCTCCTCAATTGAGCGTGGTTGAGCGTGGTTCATAGGTCAACGCTCAACCACTGAGTCACGCTGTCCGAACAAAATAGAAACTTTTAAAAAATATTTATTTTCTTCTAACACTGATGAAATAAAATAATTTTCTTTCTGTTAGACTGCAGCCAGATTTCCTAATAAAAGTGAAGAATTTTTTATTTTCAGACTTAGATCTGTACAGATTCTGCTAAGTATATGGAATAGAGAAGAACTGATTCTATGTAACTACTTTGCTTGCTTTATTTTTAGGGCTTATCTAAGTAGTGGTCAGAGTACATGGCTAACCCCAATTCAACTTAACACAAGTAGAAGTCTCCATGTGTTGACAAGAACCTAGTACTATTCTTGACAGTGGGTATCCAATAATGTGCAAAACAAAACCCCTATTTCATGGAGTTATTATGCTAGTTCATAAATGAATCAAACTAATTACAC